ACAAATGAGGACAATAAAAGCAGTCAAAACTAACAAAAGAGCAACAATATATAAGTGCAAATGACAAGTCTCGGTTAGCCTAACGCAGTACATGTAGCAATATATATATATATATATATATATTATACACACACACACACAAAGGAAAAACAAGTAAGTAAGATAAAATAGAAAGCTAGTGTTTTTTTAATAAAAAAAAGAAGATAAATATAGATAAAGTAGAATTAAAATAGAATAGAAAGTGCTAGAGTTAGAGGGTTTAGAGGTTTTAAAGCAAAACCATTTGCTTCGAAACATTTTGCGAAGCAAATGGTTAATTTCATTCAAAGTTTTCACATGCTTCGTTCATTGTTACCATCACCACGTTATATATCAATTTCAAAGAAAATAAATGGGAATGTTTACTTCCGGAACCTGTTGCACTTTATTGGCTCTGCAAGAGTTGCGCTGGCCAATAATATTCGTCTTTATTCCCAGGTCTGAAAGCCCTGCGTTTCTAGGACAACGACTCACAAACAAATGAGTGTAGTGTTTCCCACTTTGTTTAGTTAGAAGCAAAAGCATTTACATCGCAGAGTCGACGGACCTGATCCAAAACCTCCAGTACACCCGAGGAATGGTAAGAATGATGCAGATATGAGTAGTCAAAAAACCATGAGCAGTCTGTTTCACGAACTAGGTAATCGTTACAGATGCTACAAACGATGCGAGGTTGTGTTGTAGAACTTACGAGAGACCGTCTCTTTTCAGTCTTTCATGAGCCAGCAGCGCAACATCTCTCACAACCACCATCAGAAGATGACCCTGGAGTACCGCAAACAGGAGGAAATGCGTGAGGATCAAACCAAACACATCACCAAAGAGAAGCAGCTGCAAGCCAACATCCAGTGCGAAGAGAGAGTCGAGAAAAAGCGCTTCCTGCTCAAAATGCAAGATGAAGAGTATGGCAAACAAATCGAGGAATCACTTCTCAAGGTTGATTTTATTCTGTTCGTTGTACATTACTTCAGCTGTTCAAAAAGAGATGCCTGGTCTCGTTTTTGTTTATTTGTTAGGATCCCCATTATCTGTGCCCTACTGTTTATTTTCCTGCCATACAAAAATATGAACATACCTTTAAGAAAATGCATGAAACATTAACCATGCATTTAAGAACATACACTGAATACAGTCTATTCTAAATCTAAACATATATGTAACATTACAATTTTAATTTGAAAATATAAATAAAATCAATGCAAAATGTATGTTTTAGGCAGAAGAGGACAGACAGTTCAGAGAGAGGCAGCTTGAACAGGAAGAGAGGATGGCCAAGGAGCTTGCGAGAATTAATAATGAGAAACTCCGAGATGAGAAGATAAGGCAGTACATTAAAGAGAACAGGTAAGAGACCGGAGAGCTTAATGGCACTACAGGTGCATTTCAAAAAATGAGAATATCATGGAAAAGTTCTTAATTTTTTGTAATTTAATAAAAATAAAAAAAACTTTCTTATATTATGGATTCATTGCATACAAACTGAAATATTTCAAGAGTTTTTTTGTTTTAATTCTGATGGTTACGACTTACAGCTTAGGAAAATAAAAAATTCAGTATCTCAAAAAATGTGAATATTTCATTTTGAGCTTGATTAGTTTGATTAATTTTGAGTGTAAATACTGGGTACCTCCTGGCCTAGTTTAGAACATGCAACCACAATTATGGGGAAGACTACTGACTTGACAGTTGTCCAGAAGACGATCATCGACACCCTCCACAAGGAGGGTAAGCCACAGAAGGTCATCGATGAAAGGGCTGGCTGTTCATAGCGTGCTGTATCGAAATATATTCATAGTAAGTTGACTGGTAGGAAAAGGTGCACAAGCAACAGGGATGACCGCAGCCTTGGGAAGATTGTCAGGAAAAGCTGATTCAAGAACTTGGGAGAGCTTCACAAGGAGTGGACTGAAGCCGGAGTCAGCGCATCAAGAGCCACCACACACAGATGTCTTCAGGAAATTGGCTACAGCTGTCACATTCCTAGAACCAAGCCACTCCTGAAACAGAAACAACGTAAGAAGCATCTTACCTGGGCTAAGGAGAAAAAGAACTGGACTGTTGCTCAGTGGTCCACAGTCCTCTTTTCAGATGAAAGTAAATTTTGCATTTCATTTGGAAATCAAAGTCCCAGAGTCTGGAGGAAAAGTGGAGAGGCACAGAATCCAAGCTGCTTGAAGTCCAGTGTGAAGTTTCCAGTCAGTGATGATTTGGGTGCCGTGACGTCTGCTGGTGTTGGTCCACTGTGTTACAGCCGTCTACCAGGAGAGTTTAGAGTACTTCATGCTTGCTTCTGCTGACAAGCTTTTTGGAGATGCTGATTTCATTTTGCAGCAGGACTTAGCACCTGCCCACAGTGACAAAACTACTTCTAACTGGTTTGCTGACCATGATTATTA